TGGAACTAACTCATCATATCTTTGAAACTTGATGCTAAAGAAAACAAACCCAACCCGTATATCCAATCTTCTGTTGGCTATATTTTCTTTGTACTTATAACGCATGTGCATATTTAGTTTTAGTGTCATAATATTGATAAATATCACACGCTAGTTATACTTGTAATGTTGCTCTCATTAATTAAAATTTCTTAGCCTGCCCCCGGTTCTATTTAATATAAATTTTAGCAATCATATCCGCATCCTAATTAACAGAGGTAGAAATATTAACAGATACAAGTAGTTTTTTGCCCCACTTAAGATGGAGGGACCTTTTAATCTTGATCCAAATTTAAATGGTTTGAGTACTCATTTCAGAATGCGAGAGGTTTATGTACCAGATATCGGGAACCTAAAAATAAAATGAAGAAAAACTTCGGGTCTCTAATAAGTCCCAAAAAAAAAAAACCTGCAAACGTGGGACCCACCTTGGACAGCGACAAGTGCAGGCAAGCAGACGCTGGCGCCTCGTTTATGCCCGACAAAGACAGCAGGCGTTGCGGTACACGATAAGACTAATGCGCCATCATAAAAAACGCTCGCCTAAAGACGGTACGATCCCGACCGTCCAATCAAATCAAGTTATTCGACCGAGACGTCAGAACCGTCTGATCGCGTGTCAGAAACGGCAGATGATGCAGGGGACAAACGGGTACAGGTTTACAAAGACGCGGTCGAGATCACCTTAACGCTCCCAGGGACTGGGATGGGGTTTCGTTCTCGTGGCGGGGGTGTTTTGGGAAAGAACGGTCATTTAATGGTGACGTGGCGCGTTACTGACTTGCGATGGCATTTACGTTGCGAGAGTAAAAAATGCGGCGTGGGGACAGAATGGAGTTATGGGAGGATGGGCTGCTGACGTGTAGTGGTAGCAGGTATGTGGGTCCCGCGGAGGGAGGGCCGCCGGGTCCTGCGTCGTATGAGTTGAAGGATGGTGAGAGCATTTTGATGTGAGTAATATTTTTTATTTAATTTTTTTAAAAAAAAATATTTATCGATTATTTGCAACCGTTTTCATGTGAGTTTTGAGATCACATTTGTACTTAGCCTTAATTGCATTTAAAATCCTATAATTTCCCCAGCAACAGCATATTCTCGGTCGTGTTTTCCAGCAGTTATATGTCTGCTAAAGTTTCAGAACTTGAACTTCTATGCAACGCTGATATGCTAAGTTTAAATCTACTATAATTTTATTTTACAATTTAATTTTAAATTTCAATATAAAAAAATTTAATAGTAAATTTAATAAATGTTGAGAACTACAACATCTTAGAATTAGCATGTAAGCATTGCATAATAATCTTCAATGAGAAATACTCATATTTATGGACAGTAATCTTCAATGGAACTTTGTACTATAATCCCGTTTCGTTTTGTGAACCACAAACAAATTACAATTCAAATAGATTATACTCTAGAGTGTTTAATAAATTTATTTAGTGGTTTATAATATATTTTTAATAATAGAATGTTTGCCAAATGGATAGATTACAATTCAAAATTATTGTTAAAATAATTAAAGAAAGAAATTAGTGATGATCTATTAAATAAGTCCTCGGATTTTATGAAATTATAAGAGAGACAATCCTATTGTACTTTATTCAACTATAAGGTGGCACTAGAGGCACACCCCCAACCACATATCAAACCACACACTCTCTCATATGCTACAGTACACCGGACCCCACATGGGATTTTAAAATTTTAAAATCTAAATGAGAGAGGGAATGTGATTGGGGGTGTGCCCCTATCATTTTCCTCAACTATATATGCCTCTAGCTTTTTTTTCTTTCTTTTTTCACTGTTTTTCCCTTAATGGAGTATAAGGGCCTGTTCGTTTGGCCAAAAAAACTGGGAAATCAAACTTTAGGAAACCTATTTTCTATTATAATTACTTTGAAGTTGTTTGGTTGGTTTAAAAAAAAAGGAAATTATAGAATAGGAGATGAGATGAGATGAGTTGTCACCTTATTATTGGATGATGTGAGTGATTTTTTTAAAAACTTTTTTTGAGGTTGTTTGGTTGGTTAAAAAAATAAGGAAATGAATTGGAGGTATATTATTGGATGATGTTTTGAGGTTGTTTGTGTTTGGTTCGTTTTTAAAAATAAGAAAATAGATGAGATGAGATGAGTTGGAGGTATATTATTGGATGATGTGACATGTACTTAAGGAAATTAATTTCTTGTTTTTTTTAAGGAAATGGGTGGAAAGGAATGTTTAATGAGATGAGATGAGTTGTCACAATATTATTGGATGATGTGTGTGATTTTTAAAAATGAGATAAAATAAGATGTGATGAGTTGGATGATGTGACACATTTTTTGTGTTTGGTTTATTTTTAAAGGTAAGAAAGAAGATGAAATGAGATGAGTTGGAGAATAAAAATAATATTTTATTAGATGTTGTGGATGAGTTTTAGGGATGGAAATGGATAAAAATATTATTTTATTGATTTCCTTGTACCGATTTCCTTTTCTTGGTTTTTAGGAAACCAACCAAACAGCCCCTAAGCTAAAAGTGGCTTGTAACGGCATGCAATATTTTACTGAACATTGCTATCACATCAAACACCTATTGTGGTGGCTGAAGAATGACAAAAAGTATCTTCCCTCTCTCAATAAGTTTAACCTACCAAACAATGCAACAGACTTTTTACTCCACAAAAAAAAAAAAAGAGCAGCCTCCTTGGCCAACCAAATAATGCAACAGAGTAGATAGAGGTCAGATCTCCTACTTACTATTCCTATCAAGCACAGCAAGCAGGCAGCAAGAGAGGGACAATGACAAGACCCAAATTCCATACAAATCATTCAAACCTCTAAATCAAATCCACTTTCTTTCACCCTCTACCCCTACTGCTACTACAAAGTAGTACACTGTGACAAATCACATCAATGCCCTTAGTTTTTCTTCTGGTAAATATGTAGCCCCCCTTAAAACTCATTTTCAACAGGCAGTCCTAAAAAATCTTTCCATTAGGCATGAGATTCTCAAAAATCAGCCCTCAGGCATTATTTTGCACTTTCAACCTGATTTGGGGTTTTCAGGATCAGAGAATTGAGCAACAAAAAGATCAGGAAAAGTCCTTATAACGCAAAGAACACATAGGTAGCACATAAAAACAAACGTAGTAGATAAGCTGTCAACATAACTTAACTGAGTACAATCCATAATTGGTTCCTCATATACGACATTAAAGTTTCATAAAATAGCAAGATGCATAAAGAGGAATATGATCAAACAAAAGACCAGTTCACAAACATAAAAGCTAAACAGTGGTGAGAATCGTCGTCGTTAAGGACTTTCCAAGCTACAGCCTGCTCATAGGATACGGGGCGCCCCATGCTCGATACACATATACCACCGGGTAGATATGCAAAGCCCTAAAGAAATTTAAGATTAGCACTGGAGTGTAGAAGGTAAAAAGTAAATGATGATATTGGTGATTTCTGAGATAACAAGTGTTTTTTTTTTCCAAGCTAACCTGTTGCATGATCTTTGGGAATTCTAAGCATAATATTTTGCGACCGCCATCATCAAGAATCTTCTCAAGAGTGATATCTTGAAGGGCGATGAGGGTTGTTTCCAGCATATCGAGACCAGCTTGATTGGCGAACGTGAACACTGGCGTTGCCTGCATAATGTATTTGTATCAATATAATTTGGTGAACTAAGCATCAGGAATGAGTTTTTAACATTAAGATAAAGCATAGAAACATTGCAGGCTTGCCTTCAGAGAGCAACACATAATTGCATCCGAATGCTGCCATAGGAGTTTCAGCAGTGAGTCATCAGCTTGAGGCTCTGCACGAAAGAGCTCCACTCCAGTATGGAACCTAAAATTTTTGAAAGATATTAACCATTCTGTACTGTACAGAGACAATGACACTTTACAGTAGTTTAAGAATTAATTTTCAAGCCAAAATTCAAACTATAGAAGAAGGTTTCCCTTATTTCATTTCAAGACATCATTTAAAAATGCTATAGTTAAAAAAAGCTAATTTTACTGATTTGCTAACACATGAAGTTCCCAACAGAACTTTTTTTTTAATGTAGTTAGAAACAGCCCAAACGTAAAATCCCTAAACTTTTTAACTTAATGCTTATTGGTGGCAATAATGCTCCTACCATGATCAAGCTTCAAAAGATTATTCAAATAAACCAACTGTATCCATTCACATAATTTAACATCTAACCAGTAATTGTAGCACAATGCTTTCATAAACAAAATACCTGTAGCTACGGGAAATCCACCGAGCAAGAGTCTGTGCTTCAGGGGATCCAGGTGGATGCTTAACTCCAAGCTGAGTGCCCAACCGAGAAGGAGCAATAGCCATAGCAACTCTCTGCACCGAGGCTACAACACTTCTCACATACTGTCTAGCCATCGCTGCCACATTGTCTCTGAGGTGATTCTCAAACGTGAACTGGAAAGCAATTGTCAGAACAGATCTCAGGTTGTACGCATTTGAAGCATTATCGCTTGCAGAGCGGGCAGCAGAACCGGGTCCAACCTCCAGTGTCGATGCAAGATCAAGAGTTCGAGTAGCAGCAGGTGAGTCCTATAACACATCATAAATAATACCGCATTTACATAACATGCAAAGGCACAGTAATACAAGAACAATAAATAAGTAATGCATAAGAGAATAGTTTTGTAATTTATTTAAAACGGAAAGGAATTTGAGTTTTTTTTTTTTTTTTGACAAGGAATAAATTCCAATAAAAAATCCCCTATGGTTTATAGGAATGACAGAAAATAGCCCCGGAATCATGAAAACTTTCAGGGGAATTACAGTAATCTTCAAAGAAATATGAAAACATCAACATGCATAGGTTGGGCCCTGGTAATCATGTAAATAGATGTCGGGACAAAATCTTAACATAACTACATATAAAGTCATTAAATTAAAGCAGCATGAATTCCATGTGTAGTTTCAGTCCAAACTGCAGAGATCATCTTTTTTGCATACTTCAATCTTGACAAGATAATTGCAGCAATCTAACCTGCTCTATGAGAAGTGTCCTCACCGTTTTAGGGTCAAGTGGTATAATACGGAATCCAGAGGGCAGGAGGGGAGCATCATCAGCGAAAGACTCATCTATAGGAGCAAACACAAGCTGAGCACATGCACCCACCGAGTTCTCATCAACTCCACTACATAACTATAATGCACAAACACCAAAACAGACAAGAATAAGACTTCAGGTTCTAATATTCATAAACATAAAAAAAGAGCTTCATTCTCTAGAAGCGAACCTGTAACAGAAACATGTCCCTGGACATAATAACATCATCTTGCGTGAACCCATGACCTTCTAGCCGAATTACCTCCAGGAACTGCAATTTGAAAGAAGATTACAAAAAATTCAAAAGTAAAGAAGGTCGGAGAAGCGTTATACGGGGGAAGATGATTACCTCTTCATGTTCTACGGTGTGAGCAAGAGGTAATATAACCTGACCACCCATAAACCCATTACTAGCCCTCAAGCCTGGAACTGCATATGGGCTAGCTCTCAAGGACGCAGCAGAATATGCATCAACACCACAGTCAGCCCATTCAGATCGGTGCTCCCTCAGAAACCGAACAAGCAAAGCTGGTGGCACATTCTACATTAAAAGATATCAGAATTAAATTAGCAGCCCAAAGTATATGAGGTTTGACTTTAAATTGATATCAGATAGAGGTAACTTATAAACCCGGAAGGTAAAAGTGAAACCTGCAGTAGCATAGAGGCCTTTGCACATAAGATGCCTCCACCAATGGGAGAAAATATGGAAGAGTTGGCATGAGATCCAAAAAGCTTATTTGGTGATGAATTTATCATAATCGTCACATCCTCAACGCCATCACTGCCCAATAATGACCAACCATCATCCGTAAACCCATTCACAGCATCATTGAAACCCCTGGAATTCATTCAGGGAGCCTGAAGTTAAGAGCACTACATGAAGGATTTAACAATGATTATGCACGAAAATGGTGAGAAGGATTACTTGCTCAATCGCTGGCTAAATGTCCTCAATACAGCAGGTTGTCTTCCACCACCATAAGCAATTTCACCACTGGTTTCTTGTGCAATTTGTCTAATATGATGCAACGCCTAAAAAGGAAACAGATTTATAAACTTAACCCCAAAGTTTAAATTTGAAGTGTACGAAATATTGCAAATTGGGGGTGCAAACTTACGGCTATGGTCATTTTCTGTGCCAATATTTTTGGTGATTCATACAAGGGCCTCAGCACCTCAGGCACACTCCAAGCCTAGAGCACACCGGCATAAGAAAAATTGGTCATCTAAATACTAAAATCTTGCCAATTAGTAAAGGGGTTTATATCACAGCATACTTACATCCAAATCCATATGATCAACAATGTGAATCATCGAACCACCACCCTCACAAGGTCGAATCAAATACCCACTGGGCAGCATCTCAGCTCTAACAAACCCAGAAGCAGGAGGTCCAGCTGGTCCACCGGTGGAAGGAGTCAATGATCTCTCACAGATCTACGTGATCAAATAATAAGAAAGTGAGAATGTAGACTGAAAGACCAACCATAGAACAGGAAGCCCAAACAAGCTTTATTTTGCTTATTCTTTTAAAAAGATTGCATCAGACAAATTTCAAAAAATTAGATCACTATATGCAAGAGAACAGTCATAAATAACAAAATAAACTCATGATAATTATAAATAAAGAATTTACCACAAGACTGCCATCTTCGAGACCAGTAGTATATCTAAGCGTCCAAAAGTCCCGAGCTGATGCTAAAGTTGTAGGAGCATAAGTCTGAGCAATTAAAATCAGGTAAGATCAGAAAGAATAACAGGCAATAGCATATTACACACTAATCTTCATTAATAAGGGAATAGAGTTAGACCTGCATATACATAAGCTCAATATTCCCTCCATTTCCAGTAGGGATAACAGTGAGTACATCAAGGGATCGGCAGTCACGATACCAAGATGGGCGATCTTTAAGGATCTCTGCGACCTGAAAAACAATCATTCATAAGCATTGCCAGCACACTTTACAACCCATGAAGTTTTTTGTGAAGAAGCTTACCTTTGTGGGTTCGAGACTCACAAGACCGCAGGCTCGTGCTGCTACACCACTACAATTGTGGGAAACAGCAATGATTCCAATAGAATCCGGACCAGGCTACAAAAAGACATTGATCCCCAAATAGTAAACAAATGAAGGACAATTTGATTAGTATTTTCCAAAGAGACATAATAATAGTAATAATCACCTTCATCCCAACCATCTGAACCCACTCCACAGCGGTTCCAGTCGCCTTGGAGAGGAACTCTGCCAGGGTCTCCTCAGCAATTGCGAGTAGACTGAACAATTTTCAAGGTATTCAATATAGTGACATGCTAAAAATTTGAACTTTTGAGTTTGCAGTTAAAAATTTAATAAAATGGATCCATTACCCAGCTGGGTTGTTAGCATCCCTTTGAGGATGCTGAGGTGTCGGGTTCTGCTGTTGGTGGTGCTGACCACTCGTCACTACAGACTCACAGCTAGTGTCAGTAGTAGCCACCTGCAAAAAGTTACCACTGTAATTAAAATTTATTATTAAGTAAAGCTTATAGGCACAAAATCTTTTACGAAAAAAAAGTGCATCCTTACAGTGTGTATCTGTTGGCGCATGTAGCCATTATCATAAACAAGCTGAGAAACTTGTTTCTGCAAACGGTCATTTTCCTCCATCAGCAGCTTGTTCATAGCAGTCAGCTTTCTGTTTACAGTTTGGAGACGAGAGGCCTCTTTCCTTTGTTTCTCACGGCACCTAAATTAATTAACATAACGCAATAATTAAGCAGAAAAAGCTACAAAAGCAAACTAATAAGATATAAGTGGTCGTTGTAAGCTAATAAAGCCACTGAGACAGCAATCATGATTAATTTTCTGTTCATAAATGAACTTAATCGGACTAATAATGTAAACTTTCTGCTTATAACACCGCCTTATCTAATAAACAAACCAAGGGGACCATTTAAAAAACATTGATCTACAAGCATTTAATTTAATTAATAAATAAAATTGAATAACTGCTTCAGGGTCACAAAGCCCCATTATGTTAAATCAAAACAACACATAAATTATAAGTTATAAACTTTAAAAGTCTTAAGAAATCTAATCTAATCTAATTTGATGAATCAATGATCATAAGAACCAGATGGACAAGGAAAAGCAAAAGTGGAAACTGAAAGACCCTTACAAGCCTTTTTTTCATAGATTAGCCTCGTACATGAGAAGATAGCAACATAACCCAGATAAGATCGACCCGCAAATGAAAAAGAAAACAAATTTAACAAAATAAGTGGCTGATAAAATCACAAAGAAAAGTTTATTCAAAAACTACATTTTGGCGCAGCACTAGAGATCCACAGTATCTCAGAAGCAATAAATAAACTAATAAGACACCAACATACAGTAGAAAACATTATCCGAATAGAAAAATATATAGTTATATAGAAACCTTATAAAATGCTGAGAATCCTGTTCTCTTCCAGGCAGCCCATTAATCACCAATACCATAAATAAAGAAAATTTCAATTTTTAACATAAACCCAGCATAAAAATCCCAACTTTCAAAAGCCAGAAAACAAAAAGGACCCTTCATTGTAATTTGTTAATTAATGCAACACTTCTCTTTCATTAAGATGCTGACAATCCAGTTCTCTTCCATAAGATAAAACCAAACAGTCGGTTAATCATTATTACAAAAAAAAAATTCAAAATTTTAAAGAAATCCCAGCTTTCAAAAGCCCCAAAACAGTAGAAGCAACAGTAGTATATGATACGAAACCAAATTCAGAAAAAAAAGAATGTTATTTACCTTCGATTCTGAAACCAGACTTTGATCTGCTTAGGCTCAATATTCGAAAGAATCGGGCACTCCCTAATCAGCTGCTGCCTCCTTATCGAACTAGGCTTGGGGCACTCACTGTAAACCCTCTCCAGCGCCTCCACTTGCTCCGGCGTATACCTAACGTACTTGCCAGCATCAATCTGCTGCTGGATGCTCTTCCCATTTTGCCCCTGCCCAGCTACAACCATCGCCATCCCACGAAGCCCTATTAAAAAAACCCTAGCTTTCACCCCCAAAAAACCCTAATTCGATGCGACAAGAGCACGGCCGCCGCCCTCTCCCTTCTTCTTTCTTGGCAGGAGAAGAGAATTGGCTCCTTCGTCGAGCATTAATCGGTAGAACGGAGGAAATCAAAACCCTAGCCCTAGCAAAGATTGCATTTTTTGGGTTTGCGATTTGGGGGGGGTGGGGGGGAGCGAGGGACTGAGGAGGGAGATTAAATAAAAAAGAGGGAATTGGGGAGAGGAGGAGTTGGAGCTTTGAGAGAGACGAGAGTGGCTTTGGTATTTGTTTTCGCTTTTTTTCTCTCTGTATTTGTGGGGTGTGGGGCTTTTTTGTGCTTTGGTACCTGTAATTTAATGTTATTATAATGTTTGAGGCTCTGTCACTGCTTTTAAAAGTTGAGCGGCGATGAGCACGGGGGAGGCTGAGGTATGCCTGTGTTGTTTATTCAATGGGGGGTTCTTTGCACTTTACTCCTTGGAATTTGTCAAAATCACAAACATGCTCTCGTGGGATGACGCTATGCTCGCGGCTCCGAACTCAGCGATGGAATGAGCAAAACCTCGTTCCCTCCTCATGTTTCGTTAAGGGGCTGTTTGGTTGTATGTTTTTATCATGTAAAATGATGTAAAGTGTAAAAAAGTGGGTCCTAATATCAGTTTTCATCACTTTTAATTGTTTATTTGTAGCTATAAAAATAGTGTAAAATGATTTCATATGCTGATGTGGCTTATAAAGTGATTTCATTAAAAAAACATGATTTTAAGTAGGAAAAGAATTTTTTTTTCATTTTTGGATGGATTTGTTGTTTGTTTAAAAAATAATAAATGCTTTGATTACACATGCAAAAATAATTCGAAAAACTTCTAACGCAGTGAAGAAATGCGAGTCATCTTCGGTTATAACCGTGTACTAGTTTATTATTATTATTTAATTCTAAAGCCATGTATAAATTTAGAATAAATAAGATTAGTGTGGCCGAATCTGTATTTTTCACGTGTTGTAGAACTACTTACATTTATTGTGAGTTTAATTTGTCGCTAGTGATTAATGTAAATATCTAATGCATAAATAATTTTTTTGCTGCGTTTATTTTTAAAACTTGTTGAGAATCTAGCTTTTCGGTCATGAAAAAATGCATCTTCTTTGTGTTTTGTCGCATGAATTTGATAATTATATTATTTCTAGTAACCCATTGTTGTCATCTATTTTCAAAATGTATAATACATTTAAATTTAACAGTTTACAAAAAAAAATTATCGGACTCTTGCTATTTTCATGTGAAAAGTAACAGAAGTAGATTAAGGGGGGAAAATACCCACAGCATAAAACTCTTTCTGCTTTGAAGGATATAGCAAGTGTAAAGTAGGAAACAAAAAATATCTATTTTAGTTCTATCATGTTATGGGTTTGAATCTAAGACAATTTTTAGATAATGTTTGTTACCCTGAAATTTTCTTGTCTTTCTCGAATGATAAGGAGAAAAAAAGATTGAATCAAAAGAAAATGCTATTTTAGAGTTTTATCAACAATTTGCTTGTATAGGTGGGGATCCGGTATTTTCTGAGTCTATATATATATATTCTATTTTCCACTAATCTTTTAAGAAAAAGGAGAAAGTGGAGATATGTAAATCGACGGTGCTATATAAACAATTCGTAAGGACTAGCTAATACTTGCAAACAAATTTATCTATCAATTATGGAGCTCATTGCATAACCCACATCCTTAATATTTTTTCCCAAATTCAAATTAATTGCTTTATTTACGAATTCTGATACTTTCTTACCTCTTTTATGTTACTGCAACTGCTGCCTACAAAAAGTACTTCCTCTCACCTCCCCATTTCAATGAACAAATAAATGTATAAAAAAATAGTTCACATGATGTGATGCAGTAATATTGAGATGGAGTCATGCATGAGCATGATCCATAACATGGTGATGACATGCATACATCCAGAGACTCAATCCCCCTCACCTCTCTTAGGTAAAGTTACCATCCAAAACAGAATCAAGTATTAATGCAAATGAAATCTCTGTTGTTTGTCCTGTTTCCTTTAATTTTTACTGGGTTCAGCACTGTTATGGGAGGGGGCAGTGATAACAGAGGGTGGTGGCTTTTACTCTGTTATTACTATTTCCACTCATACTTGACCGCTGAGAGAGAAGCAGCCTTTTTTTTTTTGTCTTCTAAAAATTTACCAGCGAGAGATCCGGGATGAGAATCTTAGGCCATTTTGATATTTTTTTAATGTTTTTTGTTTTCCTTTAATTTTGATAGAATTTGAATAGATTACAGGTAGGTAACATGGATTTATGTTGGTCATTTATGTTTTTGGCTTGGGTCAAGAGGATCACGTTTCCGTTATTGTGTGAGTAGGGGTGCCAAAAATATCCCAGTCCTACAAATCCGAATAATCCGAATTTGTGTTTGTTAGAATGTAAACTGTATATATATATACTACTATTATATAATATATATATATATATATATATATATATATATATATATATTACTATAGTATATATATAGTATATTAGGTATATGAAATAGGTATGCTTCGTACCAAGCCACAAAAAGTTGTGCTTGTAGTGAGGTGTAAAATCCCCCTCCACTCATTCAAATTGTGGAACAATATTCACATAGGCGTAGTGACGTGGATGAGGATGTGACACATCACACCAAGGCCACAAAATTTGTGCTTGGGATTACCAAGCAATACCCGATATTTCCTCTCTGCTCCTCCTCTCTCCTCTCTCTCTCTCCTCTCTCTCTTATAATATATATATATATATATATATATATATATATATATATATATATATATATATATTATATATATAGAGAGATGAGATGAGTGCACAGAGACGACGTGCGAGAGATAGCAACCTGAGAGAGAGAACAAGAGCGGGAGCGTGAGCTGAAGCGTAGAAAATTTTCTACGCTACAAGTGTATGGCATGTCACCCCACACCGATGTGCACCTAATAGGGCTCGGGGCTTCACATGTCATACACTTGACAGCGCGAAGAAATTTCCTACGATGCCAGCCTCACCTTCCCGTTTTCTCATATATATATATAATATATAATATTATATATATATATATATATATATAGTATAGACACATGCCCGCTAATAATATGTTCAGAAAAGAAGAAGTAAGAGTAATGAATTATTCAAATCTGTTTCAAAAATATCTTAAAATACGTTGATAGTACAATTAACGATGTTTTAATCAAAAGACTAATGAAATTTGAAGTTAGTAGTTTTGATGATCAAGAGGTCTAATCTTAACATTTCAAATATAATGGACATATTGATGAATTCTTTTCTATCATATGAACTATATTATTATTTTTCAATCTTATTTTGTTTTGTCATATCCATTTTATATCAACATGTATATATATCCATAGTTAGTTTTAGTGGATATGAAAATGAACTTTTCTCACCAAGACATATATGTATTTATATTCCTATTTTTAATTAGTAAATAAATGGATGAGAATATGATAAATAATACATCTAAAGCATATCCAATCCGTTTGCACCCCTACTTTTCTCACCAAGGCATATATGTATGACTAGAGCTGGTAGAATTTTCATATAAGTGACAACACAACACAAACACAGCTTCATAGACTTGCATCCTTAGCCATTGTGGGCTCATGTTGTCTTGATGGGCCCCCTTGGTCATATCGTAATGACCATCTTACCCTCCATGGGTCCCGTGCATCGGTTCATCATTTTTAACCGGAGCGCTGCTACAGGGACCCAAAATATGGGAACATGTTAGATGTTCCCTCCCTATCGCATAACGAACTGGTATGACCAGCTCATTATGCGATAGGGAGGGGACACCTGACATGTCTCCTTCATTGATCTCATATTTTGGGTTCTTAAAGACATTTTTCTTTTTAACCGTCCACAGTCCTACAGTGAAGTTTTTAGATCGATTAATTACAATTTTATCGTCTACTTACAAACCAACATCTAGTTAAGGAGTTTCGATATGGGCTCAGCTCAGACCTTGCCTTGTCACTGAAGCAAGAGACATCCACCTTTATTATAAGGTTAAGTTACTCAACAAGGTGTCTTGTTTTGTTCCCAACAACTATTTATAAAACGTGGTTTCTCGACTCATCCAAATTCTTAAGCCTGGATCTCGTCAAGATCAAGAAGACCTTGGAAGCGCGTGGCAACCCATCCTACATTTGTTATGTCATGCATGTAGGGACTCGTATCTTATCGCATTTTTTTTAGAAAATTAACCACCAAAAAATAAATAAGTAAATAAATAAACAAAATTAATTAGTTCATGCTTGGAGATTACTTCTTGCTAATAACATAACCATTACATAGAGATTATTTTTTTTCCCCTCTCCAAATCAAGTGACAACCAAGTTTTACGAATTATATGCATTCTCTCAAAACAGCTCACATCGTCTAGAAGTAGGCTATTCTAATCTATAAAACGCGAAGTGTAATCTCCAGCACGACCTTGGAAGCGCGTGGCAACCCATCCTACATTTGTTATGCTATGCATGTCGCGTCTTGTATCTTATCGCATTTTTTTTAGAAAACCACCAAAAAAATAAATAAGTAAATAAATAAACTTAGTTCATGCATGGAGATTACTTCTTGCTAATAACATAACCATTAGTAGAGTTTTTTTTTTCCAAATCAAGTGACAACCAAGTTTTACGAATTATATGCATTCTCTCAAAACAGCTTGCATTGCCTAGAAGTAGGCTATTCTAATATAAACGCTGCTACAGGGACTCAAAATATGGACCATTGGAGGGGACAAGTGAGGTGTCCCCTCCAATGATCACATATTTTGGGTCCTTAAGACATTTATATAAAATGCGCAATGTAATCTACAGCCCGACCTCCTATATATTTTTCTCCGGTACAGACTCGAAACAGCACATTTTAGCGGTTTGGTATTGGTGTGCTAACAAAGATTTTTAATTTTTTTTTTTTTTTTTTTTTTATTTTCCTTTAAAATCAGCCCTATCTAAAAATGACAATGTGGGACCCAACCTAGGCTAAAGCTGTGTTGCTTCGCCTTGGCCTGGTTGTTTTTTTTTTTGCTGTAGGCGTGGCGTGCGGAAAGAACGAGACAAAGGAGGGGGGTGTTTCCTTGCTTTTTACGTTGAGCCTGGGATTTTGTTTGCTTTTGTGGTCCAAAGAGAAAAATAAAGAATAAAAAAAAAGAAAAGAAAATTCCCAAATTGGGAGAGGCTCAGTTTTGTTGAACGCTTTGCTCCTGCTCGGGGCGACAGAGAGTTCCACGCTTCCTCTGCCAATTTGCGTACAAATAGAAAGCCTTCTTTTCATCCCTCAAATTTTTATTTTGTCATTAAACCCCCAATAAATTCTATTAATACATTTACTTATTTTTATCGTTATTGTTAAGAGTATAATCTAGAGAAAAGACCAGAATAGCAAGATATACGCTCAGACCGGTTTTATTAGGAAAGAAATAAATGAAGAAGGAGATCATTGTATTGGGTATATAGATTTAGTGAAGGGACCGTTGCTTTTATCACAACTGATGAAAAACATACATGACCTTTATAAATATAACTGACCTTCCAACCGTACACAAAGGTTAAGATGAACCTCCAACTCCAAACAAGAAGAATTTTATCGTACGTAAATCAAGGCATTGTTTTTCATAATCATAGAGCCTTAAATAGAAAATTAAGGTTTTATTTTATATTAGAGCATAAGGTCTTTATTATTTTGAAATTAGCCTCTCAAGTCATTGAATATGTTATTAGGTCCCGAAATTCTTATAAACTGTCCCAAATTTAGTCCCTCGATCATTAAAATTGCTGCGGTCCCCAATTCTCATAAGTTGTTCAACTTAATCCGTCTAATCAATTGAAACAGGAAGAAATAAGAGTGGAGGGAACTAGTAACAATGGCAATCATTTGACAATGTAATTTCAAAGTATTAAATATCTAATAGACTAACATTGTCAAAAAACCCCAAGAAATCTCAATTACCACGAAAGGAAAGATTCTAGCTTACAACATGTCAACTATGTAATACAAGCAGGCATTGTTGACGCCCGAGGCTAAACAGATAAATTTGTTAGATAGCTGAAGTGCTATATTTTAAGTTTTTTTCAAGTTTAGCTGCTGTGTGTTTATGAAACGTTGTGGTTAAAGCAATATCTGACCTACTTCAGTGCAATGATCCCAATACCAATCTGCTTCCAGGAACAGCAGTACAGTATACTAGTGTGCACCGACTAAGTACTATCAAGATGTCCTCGATCTATAAGACCTTTCAGTCAAGGCAAATATCTCCTCAATCTGTTAAACCTTTCGGTTAAGACAAATATATTTCGATCTGTAATAACCTTTTGGTTCAAAGCTCTGTTCCTTCGGGCACAGACTAAATCTTGCACACTTTTAAACTTCGCAGCAGTAGCACAACAGATTAAATATTTCAATGTGTTTTTCGTATCTTTGAGAGTTGCCCCAAGGGGCTCTATTTATAGGCCTCTAAGGCCAGCTCAGGGGTCATTTGACTGTTACAAATCATAATGACAATTATGATTGTAACAACAAATGACTTGATTGCTTTAACTGCTACATGCAGTTTTAATTGCTACATGAAGAAACGTCTGAACGCGAGGGTCGCGTTTCTATGCAATGTAATGGTCGCTACCAGCCTCGCGCGAACGCGAGGGTCGCCCGCATGCTGCCAGCAGCCTACGAGGCATGCTCTCATTTTTATGCAACACAATGGTCGCTACCAGCCTCGTGCGAACGCGAGGGTCGCCCGCATGCTACGAGGCAGCCTGGAAGTGCAAAGTGCGCATTACAAAGCGTCACTTAGCGGCTTAGCCCGATTAGCCCCGATTCCCGGTCTGGCCCAGAGCCACGACCCACTAAAACTTATGATGGATTAATTGAATAAAAATAATTCTCGATTTGCCGTTGGCAAGTCTCGAACACAAGACATTTGAAACACCAAAACTTTAACTTGCCACTACGCTACTAAGGATTTCTAAAAAATATCGGTAGTTAATAAATACGTAGTTTGAAAGCTCATTTTTAAAAAGCGGTTTTGACCAAAAAAATCCAACATATATCTCCTCAATTAAGCTCACTTGGTTGGATTCAGTCAAAATCCAAACTAGTGGGTCCCCCAATATGCCACGAGATAATGAATTTTATTTGTTGCCAATGGGCAAACTAGTGGGTCCCTTAGATAAGCTAGTTATATTGGAGCATTCAATTAGTGGAGGGGTTGGACCGCAAGTTCAGGATGAGCAGAACTCCAAGAGGCTTGGTCAACACCCTCCCCCACCCCCCCCCCCCCTCCCCCCCCCCCTCCCCCCCCCCCTTGAGTAAAATTTTAATTTGTCAATTATATTAGTTAAATTGTTAGAGGTCTATGGAAGTGGCGATGTCATTGTAAACTCGTGAGAGGCCCACTCAAAAGGCTCGTGGGTTTGGTTTCAAACTCACCCCTTGATCATGAAAGTAGCTGTATTGACAAATTCATTTTTGGAGTCGTAGTCAAATCACAATGGCCGGTCGGTTAATTAGATCAATGGGTGACTTGCTAGCGTTGTCTCTTGCAAACAAAGGGCCTAAGATTAGGGTTTTCCTTTTTTTTACTAATCAAGATTCAAGCTGGGGGGGCGAAAAAGGTGAGCTAAATCTTATCTTTTTTGATACGGAAGCTTTATAGAAAGACATAAGCGCACGGTGTGACGTAATAAATGCGTTAGGCGCTATGATATAAATATTCTCTCTCAGTTAGATATTGTTTAATAAGGGGTTCATTCATAAAGGTTAAGGAAGGTTAACCCTTCCTTTAACTCGTCCAACATAAAAGAGAGGAGGAGAGACATGAAACATGAAGTAAAATAGATTCACGTAGCGGATCCTAAAAAATTTGGGATGAAGACTTTGTTGTCGTTGCGCGAAGTGAAATAAGTCGATCTGTCAAAATTCTCTTAACATAAAAAAAAATAATCCTTCTATTTATAATGAAAACAGTGATAATCTCTTCTCTTTCCAAACACAAAAGGAAAACATGATTGTGTTCGGGAGTCCACAAGGAAAAAACAAATAAAATAGAGAAGAAAAGATGGAGAAGAAGAGGGGAAAATATAACGTCTTATTTGAGAGTCCACCAAGGAGGGTGGAAGAGAACTTGTTTCGTCATGTTTATCCCAAAATTTCATCTAGGTTGTTGATCCATGGTGAAGAGGGCAAAATTGTTTTCGAACATTAAACTTTCAATGATCAATTTCCCTCCCTCCTTTTTCCGTCTGCTTTGGGAAGCGGGGCAAAAATCACAACATTTTAACGAAAATTTCACCTCCCCAGCCCTCTTACCCCCTCACCAAAAAAAAAAAAAAAAAAAAAAAAAAAAAAAAAAAAAAAAAAAAAAAAAAAAAAAAAAAAAAAAAAAAAAAAAACCCCAAAAGGAGTTAATTTGCCCTACCCCCCACATAACCCTTAAGACAAGCCTAATATCTAATAATATTTATTTACTCAAAATAGGTAATCTTGGCCAACTTTTTATCCTCATTCCTCCTTAAATCTCTGCCAAATAGATGACCTACCGAGACGCACGAAAAAATTCAACCTACTGAGCAAAACGCAAAGTAGTACGCACACCAACCAATTAGTCATCCAAATCCAATTTTCAAACTAGTGGTGTACTGTCAAAACCTTAAAACCCTAAACCTAGAGCCCATAAAAAGCCACTTTTAGTGTTGGCCTTAGGCCCACCAACACCAACCATCACTTTTTCAATAAATTTTTTCCTCCTTTTCCCTCGTCTCCCTTCACTGCCAAGCTTGTCACCCCTAGCTTTATTCAATCACTAGTAAAAAAGAGAGGGGAATGTGTGGAAAGTTTGTTGAGGGGGGTGTGCAGAAAAAGCAACTGCCTTTCAACTTTTGCTGCCTAAGGTTGACATGCACACACAAAAAAACTCTCATATGTAGCTTTCTAACATCAATCAAGAGAGAAAGTATCCCAAGCACAAAGAAGAGAAGATGCACTCATAACTCTCCTCTTAGCTACCAGTGTTGGTACAAATACAATAACTCCAACAATAACAATTAATGGGTTATGATGGGGGGGGTTTTTTTGGGGGAGAGTCAAAGATGTATGGAGGCTTCATGTATGGTGTTTTCCTGTCTCCTTTGATGGCATGATGAGGTCTCACTGAACTTTTTCCATGCTCCTCGAGCTCTTGTTACCCTTTTTTTGCAAAAGAGAAAGGGGAGGGGAGGGGCATGCGGTAAGAGAGCATGCCTTGGTAGCGCAACTACTACTAGGGCATGCCCCTAGATCTATTGCGTAATCTCGCAACTACAATAAGGAAAAAGAAGTGCGGAAGTCCATCGCCACCTCCAGAGGTGGCGATGGACCCCGATGGGGATATCAATCTATATCACCTGTTAATAAACCTGACTTTGATCTAAGCCAACAATCATGGACCAATGCAACAAAGAAGAAGGTTAAGCTGCCAGGTTGCTATCTTGAATGGTTTCGACGATATGGGATTATACTCGCACATGAATTTCCAAGATTTGATCACAATGTTTGTGCTCACTCCACTTTATGTGCCTACCGCACCCTATGGCTTTCTCAAACTGCCAATGTATTTTCTTTCTGAGAGTGATTTCTCAGTAAACAAATCTAGATAGGGATCAATTTAACATGGAAAGCAATCAATTGTGTGGTATGTTGTGGGGGAATACTTGATGATATTTGTTGGTGTAGATAGTTTATTATGCATGGTACTAAGAATAAACTAATTGCATGCATGAAGCAAATAATCATGAATGTAAGCTGAGTGCTTCGATGATGATTTGATTAGGATTTTGTTGTTAAGCTGTTGTATGCATGTTGCACATAAAGGAAAAGCTGTTACCTTCATGCTTAACTTCATAATTAAAGGGGGGCCAAAAGACAAAAGCCTGTTAAGATGTACTACTTGCATGGATTGGGAAAATCAAGGGGATTAAGATTACATGCATGTATAATAATTAGAAACACAAGCAGAATACATTGATGAAGATAATACACAGCCTACTGTTTGATTGTAATCTGCATGCTTGTAGTCATAATGTGTACTTTCGTAAATAGATAGAGAGGGACATGCTGAGGGGGGACAAAAGGCTTAGTTGAGAAATTTTGCAACTATGCATTGACCAACATATAGCTCTGTGAACAACTAGAATGAATCAACAAAAAGGCTTAGTTCGCCTGGTCAGCACAAAATATATAAGAGCAGATGGTTACATTTCTGGTCTAGAGGTCAAAACTTGCAACAGCCGAGTATAAAAGCTTGAGGACATATGATCATTAATAGAGATGGGTACCCATTTTGAGTTTAGGCTCCACAATTGGCTTTGCATTCTTGCTATGTGATCCTGGAAGAACACCTTTTTTCACACTTGATGTCTACATAGGAAAAGCTACAAGATAGTCAAAACTGTTATCTATAGTGACATGTAGATAGGAAAATCAACAGAAAAAATATAAACCGCTATCTAGAGGGAAATGTACGCTACACTTATTGCGGCAAGATTCGATGATCTGAAGTTATTATCCGTGTCACCTAAGATATCACATAAAATGTGCTAATATGGTACTGGAAATACACTTCCTTTTTCTGCACTTGATGTCTACATAGGAAAAACTACAAGATAGTCAAAACCATTATCTATAGTGACATGTAGATAAAAAAAAAATCAATGACATATAGATAAAAAAATCCATGAAAAAACATAAACCAATTATCTACAGAGAAATGTAAACTGTACTAATGGCAGCACGATACAATGATTTGAAGTTATTCTCCATAACACCTAAGACAACATACAAAAGGTATACTGCTTATATCTTATGCAATTAAAGAACAGAAATTTAAGAGTGAGACTTTTAAGTGTGAACAAGCCACGCCCCCACCAGACTGCACTATAATTATAGTCGCATTAGGTCGATGTAGAGGCTCATTACTTCGTATTTTTTGCTTTTTTTTCCTGCCACGAGAAAATCTTTATGATTACTGTGGGTCAGTTAATGTGTTCTAATTATAATTAAACATGATGGCCCCTCCATAGAAGGAATAAATAAAGCTACTCATCATTTCCTTTTAACATGCAATTCATGCTAACAAGCACCATGAGACCCTCTGTACAATTGTAGCTAAATTTTCATCTCGAGAGAAAAGATATGATCAGCCTTAAAATATTAAAAAATGAATATCCTCACGGAACTTACTTGACTATGTTCAGAAGAAAAACTTAGTTAACAGCAATTCATCAGTTTAACAAAAGCATTTCTATGTGTGAGTGTTTATGGTAACAAAAGTAACGTCTAGTTATATAAGATGAGAATGATTGAAAGGAAGACCAAACTGAAGCGATTTCATTGCTTTCACTAGTTAGGAATTATACATGCCATGCCTAGCTACTTATGGTGCAAGAGGATTCATTGATTAACCATTTTGATTGGAAAGTGATGCTTAAATTTTTGAAAGAGGCATTATGTATATATTATTTGAGCATTATCCCCCTGCAATTACTAGATGGTCCAACAAGAATAGTTGCACAGCTTGGATTCTAGTCATAGAATTCCAACCAGAAAAGTCATTGGGGATGGTCAGCACCCTTAACTTCATTGGATCTGTAATTAAAATTAATCATGTTACCTAGCACATAACTAATGTCCACAATAGGCAGGGTCCACTACACAAATTATTCCCACATTGTTAAAACTGTTTGATAACTAACTAATAGTGTTTTGTAAGGGTCATGTATATAGTCAACGGTGGATGGAAACTGTGATATTATAGATACTAGTGGGTCATGCAAATTAACGGATATCAAATTATTAGAACCAGTTATCATAATACACAGAAAATTTGGCCAGAAAGAACAACATCATAAATCCTAAATGATATCCTCAGCATGATAAACATTTTTCATGTCAATTTTGTTAAGTTATAAAGTGCCCGTTTGAATTCTTGATGTGTTAAATAATACTAGAAATTATAAGTGCCATTTAGAATGTACCTTGATCATAATCCAACAGTCACATTTAGTAAATCAGGAATCGTGAAAATTATGAGAGATACTTTTTAACTTATCGTTAAGAGATTGTTTGTGAACAAATAAGATGCACTATGTGAGAAAATGAAAATTTTAGCCCATCTCCTCAACATTTATATCTTCTTGTTAGTAAATAATATATCTTGCCCTCCAATGTTTTATTGTTCTTCTATTTTTTGGATGCTGGTCTTGGGTTAATGTGAACCTCCAGTTTTACTATTTGGAAAGGAATTCTGCCTTTTAATTCTCTTCTTTAGTTAACAAATTATTTGAGAATGAGAGACTACCATCCATTAGTCCTTTTGAGTTTCATATGTTGTGATTGTCCTTGTGACGGACTTTTTCAATCTTCCATCTTTTCTTTAGTTGTCAAGTAACAATGTGCTTGGGTTCCTTAATATAAGGTGGTTACAACCTATGTTGCATGGAAACAGGTACGGGTTGGTGCGGGTGCGGGTACGGAACAAGACAATTTGTAAAAGGTAGGGTACATGGATACGGTTACACACACCACATACACACATATATGTACATATGTATACATGCAACACACATTGAAATTGATAAATTACATAAGATCATTCATTAATATATTATCAGAAACAAGGTTACAAAAAGCGTTAGGCGGCGTTTAGAGCCTAGGTAGCCTAGGTAGGGGGTTAGGTGCTTTCCTATTTTTTTTAATATATTAACTACAATCAATATTATCAAAAGTGCTACGCACTGCTTAATACGCATGCAACGCTAGGCCTAGGAGAATCTCTTTTATTTAAGTGGTGGCGGAGGAGATTTTGCTGAAGGTTGAAAGAATTGGAGGTGTTCATAGTCGGTGGAGGCCAGAGGAGGTTAGAAGATGTAGAAGCAACAACAGAGGAAATCACAATCAAGACCTACCAATGTAGTCTGCGTGAGCAGTCTTCGCCGCCCCGCCCTAGGCGCTTTCAACAACCAGGCTGGAGGAGCCTAGGCTGCCTAGGTAAGGCCTAGGCCTACATGGGAGCCTACATGAGAGCTTTTTAAAACATTGATCAAAATTAAAATTAATATATCATTTTTATATTTCTTTTATTGTCTAGATCATAAATTTAAACTGCTCATTTTGAACCGGATACCCAAATGACCCTTTAGAATGATCGTTCTAAAGGGGTTTAGATGAAATGAATCCAAATGACCCTTTAGAATGACAGTTCTAATAAATTTCTGTCATTCTAATAAATATCAAGAAATGAATGTGAAAGAGCTGTATGACATGTTTTAAACTAAAACATGCATTATATAATTGAGAGTGTCTGAATAAACATATGCATACATTCAAGGAGTGTCCGAGGAGTGTCGGTGTCTGGTATGTGTTGGAAATGGGTACGGCTTCACAATAGAAGTACTCACGCAACATAGGTTACAACTAAGTGCTAAAACCACCATTACCATTGCGAGCTCTCCTGCCCGCTAAACGTCCTTAGCGAGATATAGAACAAGAATTCCTTTCATATTTCTTTCTTTTGTTTCAATCTCTGTAAGATGTCTCAATTCACGTACATGAATGTTCTATAACATGCGTGATCAATGAATCAATATGCAACCATCTTTTTTCAGCATCTCTTTTCTTCGGCAAAGATACAATAGACACACACACACTACATATAAAAGAGGATTGGGGTGTTAAAACTTTTGATTGCCTCTTTTACCTTTTCAAAATTTGATAATTCACAATAATGCCTTGAAATTTATTCAATTCATTCTATTTATTACACTATAATTATTCTTAAAATAAACATGAAAACTAATACTAAGAACTAAATATATATTATATATTTTAACCATAAATTTTATTCAATTCATTCTATTTATTACACTATAATTATTCTTACACTAAACATAAGAACTGATATATTATAAATTTTACCAATATTAGTGTTATGTTAAATAAGATCACTATTTCACTTTAGATATTAGATATTACACAATAAATATACAATTTTAATATATAAGATAATAATATCATAACTTATATTTATAAATGATATTATAATTTATGATAATTAAATATTTAATTAAACATCTAACATCTAATCCAATAATATAATATATTGATATATGCATCTGATGCGTAAAAAATCCATGAAGAGGAATACTAATATAAATGTTAACCTCTTGGTGTAGTCTAGAAATCGCATATAAATTATCAGAATATATAGTACTAACTATTGCAATATACTTATCATAGTATTTGGATACAAGGTAATTCTAAGCATGTGAAATTCCAAGCGATGTGGGAAACTATTACATTTGCTCGACATTGGATGTGGAAAGATAATTTTTAAAGAAGACGTGAATGCGTTAATTAGAGATATCCATAATAGGTTGGAGCAACACTCAATTTTCGGACACTTTGTCGATGATATTTAGCGATGTTACACATGAGTCGAGGAATGTGATTTTTAGATAGTTCGTCAAATGAAGAATATAACGGCTCATGTGTTGGTCCAAAGAGCTAAGTAAATTAATGACTTTGTGGTATTGCTCGAAAACTCACCATTATTTTTACACAATATTTTACAATCTGATAAGCAGCAGCGTTAATCCTCTTTCTTTTGCTGTGCTTCTGAGTTTTCAGTTTAGTTTTGATGAATATTAATATTTTTTTTCATAAAAAAACTATGACAATACGATTTTGAATCCTAGCTAATAAAGTAATTTATGACATCTCCCCTTCTAAACCCACAAATAATACATTTAATATGAATGTTAGTGAGAAAATGAACCTATAATTAAGGGATTCATGTATATTCTCTTATTAATCAATCAAGTTATCTTCATTAATTATGCACTAATAATTTCACGACACATCTACTTCCATAAACATTCCACTTGGACAAGAGTTGCATAAAATTATGCTATATATGGATGCTGAAATGCACAAAAGGAAACATTAAAGAGTCAAAAGAAAAAAAGGAGAAAGTGGGAATTTTGATTGTGGAGTCAATCCCTCGATTATAGTAACCAGGATACATTGTGGTCAGCAAGATTTCATAGGCAATAATTAAGAGAGAAAATTATATCGTTTTTTTAAGAAAATGAACAGATCTGCAACTGGTTCCACCTCTAATTTACGAAAAATATCAATCTATTAGTTATACAAGTATGCAATTTTGTGGAGATAAAAACTAATATAAATATCAATAAATTCATGGCGAGTAGGTGGCCGGGGACTCTGTTTGAGTCCTCTTCGTTGTTCTCAAAAATAAGTCGCGGGCGAATGCAATATGAGATGGTCTTCAAATGTTTTGGTTTCATATTATTACTTAATATGCATCACGTGCAAAGCACGTGTTAAATTCTAGTGTGTGTATACATATACATATATAGGCTGACCGAATAAGTAGTTTATGGTGATTAGTGATAGCAAAATAACATCTCCCTTTCACATTAAATTTGGATGTAAGCATAGCATTCATTCTCATAGTCATGCTGGCACCAAACCCTTGTTCTTTCTTTTCCCCCCCATGAAAAGGTCTCAAGAAATTTGAATACAGTAATCATATTTCCCAGTTGCATCATTTATATTTTATTTCAAGCTATCTATATACACACAAAATATTAATGGACGCTTGATATAACAATTTTCAGTCCATCCTCAATTTAGATGATCAAAACTTGCAGGCAATTTCACGTAGCAAAGTTTCAATTACCACAAAGAGTTGTGGAGAATATTGTTAAAGATGTCCAAAGAACGATAGTGCTTCATAATGTATTTCAGTTTCATGGGTTGAAGAAAGCATGAACGCCATCATGCTATACCACATTCACTTTAACATCATGATAACTTTGATGAGTCCATTAGGCAAATTTCTACTAAAACTTTTAAGCGGACTATGTGATGCAATCATTCGAATTTATAATACAGATGCTTTTGCAGGAAAAATAATTACCTTGTACCCATGCAGTTGTTGAAGGATGCAGGTAAACCCTCATGTATATGCAACTTCGTCATTACTACTATGGGAAACACACCTCATATCCTTTTCCCTCAAAATATTGGCATTCTTGATCATCAAATTTATTTAAATTCCTGCCTGTATATTTACCAAGGAAAAAAAAGATAATTAATTTTGCATAACGAAGGGGGTAAACCTCATTGCCTATGATAGTTTATATAATAATTACAGAAGAGGATATCACCTTTAGAACCAAAATAAACTTTGTAAGGACATCCCTAAGAAAGGAAAAGAAGAAGAGGGTGAAATCACTTACTTTCCGGATAACTTATATAAAAGAGCAAATAAATCCTCCTTTATGACTCGTATCCTGGGTTTTCAATTCCTTACTGATGCTTTCAGTCTGCATAATCATTATATATGGAAACATTAGTCAATTTACAATGTCACATCAAGCTTCAATGCACTAGATGTCAAGTTGTCACGGTAAATCCATGAGGAGAGCCATCCTTGGCTGTTGCCTTAATCATTATCTGCAAAAGAAAATTATCTTCGGAATCAAGTTATGCACCCGCCATCACTAAATTATAAACAAATAAATTCAATCAATTAGAGTTATAAATCACTAACAGAGTGAAGGCGGAAGATCGGAATGCCCTTTCCTTTTCTTAAATTAATCAAACAAAATGATGCACTTTCCTTTTCAACAGGAAAGATCCGCAAAGATTTCCTGAAGGATTAAGTTGATCACGGTATTAGCATGAACAATCATTTGTTTATGGAGATGGGGTCTGGTTCAAATGCTAATTTGTAAACTCATAACAAAATCAGTAAACCATACCCAAAAACTCAAATGAAAGAAAAAAAAAATTTCTTGCAATCTCAACTACAAGCCAAACACAAATCAAGAGAACAAACTACTGTGATATAATCACTGAATAATATTACATGGCTCTTAAAATGATTATCAATCAATAGAAAAAAAATGAGGCACATTAGGTGAGAGGGGTGCATCAGAGGGAAAGAAAAATAGAAGAAGAGAAGGAATCACACCTTCAAAGGGAAAGAATTGGCCTCACACCAATATGCAAATCACATGCATTCAACCGTGGGATTTTCATCACATAATCAAATGAATCTCTCTATTTATATTTTTAAACTTATAAGGTATTATAGTTGAAGAATCAAATTCTTTTGAATCAAACAACTAATCCTATATTTGTGAAACCAAGTGACGCAAATTCAAATGTTAAAATCAAATAACTAATCTCAAATTCAAATCAAATATCTAATCCTAGAGTAAATCCAAATCAAATATCTATGCTAATCTCAAATCAAATATCCAATTCTCAAACTAATTATGATCCTAAACAAAACTAGCCCTCTACCAATGAGATGAGGCTTTGACTTTATATCCAGTTCTCTAAAGCATCACTGCATCAAATATGAAGCACATTTGTCCCCCTATTTGGACAATCAGAATTTTTGAGATGCCCATGGAAAACGAGAGTGTAGGTTGCTAGTGACATTCTACAAAAAAAAATAATAATAAAATTAAAAAAACATGAAGCATCTTCTCTCCAAGCATGAGTAGTCTTTTGGAGCTCTGATAGTTATGACATTTTCTCTATTTCAATATGACCCCTTCCAACACGGCATTAAGAAAATCACCATCCTTTCTGTCTCTCTAAAGCCGGCATATATAAGATCAATGTAGACTCTCCAGGGTCTTGCATGGAAGATCCATGAACTAAAAGGAGAAAAATGCAGAAGGCAAGCATTCTGATGGACCTGTTTCTTGATGATACATGAAATTTGATTTAAACTAACCAGTTCAAGGTATATTAGCACTTGCCATTTGGTTAAAACAATGAATTCAAATCAGAACATTCTGATAAAATGAAGCATAGCAGTCACTAGTCTAGTTAAAAAATAGTGAAAATGACGAGCAACCACACTTATGCAAAGAGTTTCTCACATTGGATTCACCAACCTACTCTCTGTTAAGAAATAAAGAATCTCTGTTGAAGTCTTAAAGGACTCGAGTGAATAAGAAAACAGGATTAAGATTGTGCATTTGAGAGGAAAGTTGGATATAAGATGAGGAATATATTGTATATACTGATTGGTGTACACATGTAAGGTTCTTTCTAGAAAAGTAGTGCAGATATGATACTCAGATATGGTTCTGTGACCTTCCAGATACAATAGAATTTCTAAAAGATATGATTATGTAAATTTTAACTCAAATCATCTGGAGGTACATGATCTAGAAAAACATTGGATTTGCTTATATGACGTGAAACAACAAAATTAAGATGAGGAATATATTGTATATGCTGATTAGCGTACACATGTAAGGTTCTTTTTAGAAAAGTAGTGCAGATATGGTACTGTGACTTTCCAGATACAATAGTATTTCTAAAAGATATGATTATGCAAATTTTAACTCAAATCATCTGGAGGTACATGATCTAGAAAAACATTCTGGAGGTACATGATCTAGAAAAACATTGTATTTGCTTATATGATGTAAAACAACAAAACATCGGGATAAAGTGAATGCATATTTATCCAAATTCCCAATACTGTTCAAAAAAATTTATATGATGTAAAGCAATAAAATATTGGAATCATATGAATGCACATTTATCACAATCCCTAGCTTATAATAAAGATTCACTAGAGGCAAGATACTGTCATTCACAAGCAACTGTGATGCCTGGATGACCAGCGATCATACTGAAGAATCATCTACTCAAAAACCACGTTAAATGATGACAGTGATCTTTCCCCCTAACAGGTTTCACAGCCCCAATCTACAAACATAAAATTTAGCCATTAGCAAAGAATAAATTTTGGGAGTATGTCCTATAGAAACAAGTTATACTGTAGGAACTAGGAACTAAAAAAGCATCCCATCACAATACAAAAAGTATATGACTTCAAAATGTCAACAGCGCCATCTACTATAACATCACTCTGAATTGATACAAATAGGACAGTTCGTAAGTAGGCAATGACACTAGAAGATGTATTTTCTTCGAGCACCAATAGTCCTGGAACCAGCAGCACAACACAAACCGGATTCACTCTGAAAATTAAGGCAAACATTGTGCTCCCTTCTTGTTTACGATAGATATACCATAGGAACAGGAGAGAAAGAAAAGAAAAGAAAACAACAGCATAACAACAGCCGAAATAACAATTAAGCCATCATCCTAACATGTTACACTGGTGAATCATTTTTATTCATCCAGCCCTATTAAGGGTCCATTCCTCTTTGAATTAGCAACCAAAATATCCTTTTCTAGGCTTAGACCTTAATCATCCGCAACTTTCACACTCATCAGTTTCCCTTCTATTTTTAACAAAGAATGACTTCAGTTACATCAGTATAAAGTAGATAATCTTAGAGATTTGCCTGATAAAGAAGTTACAGAGTGATTTATCATATTTGCTTTGTGCTGAAGTTAGTAGGTTTGATTCTTCTCATGCGATCTCTTATCAAATAGAAGACCTGTTCTGTTATCTGGTGGTGTTTTAAGATATTTTAGTTAGTTGCTATTTTATTCTTGATGAGTTCTCTGTTACATTGAATTTTGTGTAGAATACATAATAATCTAACGGAATCTAGAAATTTCTTTCAGATGGCGAGCTAGTCATTTTTTTGCTAAACATGCGTCTAAATATTTCTTCTCCACATAGCTTGATTTTTGGAAGACGACCAGATCAGGCTTATAACGGCACTAACTGTACCACTTTTTGCAACAGCTAACCCCACCAAAAAGTCAAATAATATTATCGATATTTTCATGAATTGCAAATAATAAGCATAAGGCTTTTGAATTACAAATGTATATGTTGCAAATAGACATATTGTTAAAAGTGTCATTAAAAGCAACATGACAATAGCTTATCTAGTTTTGATTTGTACCCACACACACAATAAGCATCAGACCAGTGTAGAAAATAGTGCGTTCCGTAGCGCAAAATAGCGCATAGCATAACATAGCGCTGCCCTACCATCACATAGCGTTGGAAAATAGCGCATGGACAATATAACGGGCGCTATTTTAGCCATAGCGTACGCTATGTAACGCATCGTTGTGACGCTTTGTAGCTTAAGTTATATTGTTCAATGTCTGAGATTGCTTTTTAAATGATTCAATGGCTGTAATTGAGTTTAAGTGGGTGGAGCCCACTTTTCATAAGTTAAATTCAAGCCTAAAACCCTAAAGGGTCTGCTGTCGTCGCCTCCAAAGCCTCCAGATAAAAAAAAAAACAATTTCCTCTGATTCTTCCGTCTTCTTCTTTGGTTCTTCCTTCAACTCATTTTGTAGGATTTATTAAAACTTATGACTTACAAATGCTTGTTTTATTAAAACATCTATAATTTAATTTCGAACTTGAAGTATTTTATGCTTTTGGATTGATTGTTAAGACAAACATGGTTGATTTTGTTGTGAAATTGTGATGATATATTGATTTGTGATAGTATTTTTATGATGATATTGTTGAGAATTGCGATGATTATTTATATTTTTTGATTTTGAATGTTATGTATCTATAAAATATTTAAACAATAATAAATTATTTAACCTATGTTAAAAGTTACGCTATTTTGCGTTTTACGTTAACCGGAGGTAAGCGTTATGCTATGCGTTATCGCTATTTTCAACATTGCATCAGACTTTGAATTACAAACATATATGTTGCAAATAAACATACTGTTAAAAGTTATGCCATCAAAACACAAGCAATATATGTCAATAGCTTATCTAGATTTGATTTGTGTTCACACGCACGCACGCACACACACAACTACAAAACACACACGCATGCATGCACACATACAGACGCACACACGCAAAGCATGAGATTCTCTAAAAATCCAAGCACTTCCACTTACCTGGATTCTCATAGGCTTAGCGTATTCAAAAGAAATAAATGCATGTGGCGCCAAAATGAATCGTACATGGCTTGGTTGTCAAGAACATCAATATCAACCAACAATTAATAGAGAGCATGACAACAATCTCTTTGGCAATCAATGTGGAATTCTCTTTAGACGAATAGCTCTTCAATGTAATGAATGACAGGAGCCTCTCGTGTTATGTATTTCAGAAACTGAACCTTTCTTGATTCTCCTGTGATAATTAAATTCTAGTCAGGTTACTAAATAAATCTTGATTCCAACACTTAAACATGTAAATCTGATGAACCTTGATAGCCATCCCATTGGTAAGGATAAATGAAGAGTACACATAAGATATTGTGACAAGAGACTTGGTCCAGAAAAAACTCAACATCCCATTAGTTTTCTCAAGAGCTGTGCTTTCTAGAAAGGGCATACAGACTGCTTTCCTGATGACTCAGCCATGGTTGATGTGCAACTGCAAAAGCCTTGGATAAGCCCCTGTTGCTGGATCCCCAAGAGAATCCCCTCAAAAACAACAATTAATATTTGGTACTAATATTCGGCTGACAAATTCCTATATAACAGATGTGAAAATACACTGTATCTGTCAAGAAGAAAAACCTGAAATTTTAAACACGAGTTCAACATAAGCTGAAGACTATTAAAGGATACTACATTAATTTATTTAGGATGAAATCTCCATGTGTAAAAGAGGTAACTGATGGAAAGTTATTGAAGCTTATCTGTCTTGAGTTAATATATGGATGACAGCTTCAAATTGTTTCAGCTAATCAAGGATGTTATTTGAAGGGCCAGGTTTTAATCAGGAAAAATATTGCACAAGATACTTACTAAAAAGAACACCTGAACGGGGGAATTAGGTCATGTATATAAGTACGGCACATTATGAATCAACTAACCTGATATTGGTTTCTACAATATTTCTCAGCAAAAAGTCCATAGATGAGCAAGCACAACAGCAGCCGCATCTGACAATGTTTTGATGCTCCATATGAAAGAAGGCAGTTTATGTTGGTTCTCTAGAATATTTAGAGATGATCAGCAGATTTCACTTAAGCAAGAGGGGAATCTCAACTCCCCTCTTCATTAGATCAATTCCCCCTGTCAAAAAGAACTTGTGAAAGTTGAACTGTACTATATGGAGAAGAAAGGTGCCTACTCGTAATTACTAATTGACATTGTAGGTCGAATTGCTCACAGTTCCCCTGTTAAGAAATTGGAACAAACATATAGATGGCTGACACTAAATTTATAATAATCTGAATTCACTTGTGGAGCTTCATCGTTCTTGAGTTGTGCTTCACAGGTTATAGCTATCTTTTTTGCACTATCCTTAGATGCTTCAGGTTTACTCCACAGGCTAACTGGTTATGACACAACCCAGGAACCTGCTTGGCAACAAAACCTTGATGCCGGCGGGGTTGGGAAATCAAGCCCGTACCAAGAGTTAATGAGCCTTAACTAGAGGTTAGGAACCAAATGAACCAAAAATCATAAGCTATTAGCATCATCACCAACTTCTATTCAAACACATCACCCTGTGTTATGCTTTCAAACGTGGGACTATGCTCGCACATGAATACCCCAACACTAAGACAGACCCAAAATGGTAACTGGAGAGTTTCCATAACACTTAATGGTGACTAACACGAAGTTGATTGTAGCGGGCAGGAGGGTTTCCTAATAGGAGAGTGTTGTCATCTCATCGCAAAATCTTAGATCATCCCATCGTTCCTATAATATTATTTAAAAAAAATCCCCTTTCCTTGCCAGTTCATCCTATTTTCTACTCTATCAAGCTTGGGTATTGAAAACACATCAGCCAGAAGGAATTCACGAAAACTATGTTGTCCCTGCTAAAATAAGGGCGCCAAGTTCATCACGGTGAATATATGATAAATTTCCCATATTTTACAGCAAAACTACTAAGAGCTATGACATGTTCATAATTATGACAAGCTCATCACAGTGAATATATTCGTTGAACCTCTCGCATGCGCGCAGAAACCTAAAAATCTCTCAAAAGATTCTACAAACAAAGATCGGCGATAATAATTAAAGAGATGGAATTCAAATGTGGGAGTTTCTCCGAGACTAGAATCTACCATTTCAACTAGGGTTCGCAACGTACAGGGCGATTTCAACGCTGCTTTCAGATCCCCGACCTATGTTAAACAAAAATCGATGAGCTGAGTTCAGATCGGAGGGGAAAATGAGAGAGATGAAGATGAAAGTCGAGACCTTTGAAGGCGTCGGCGATCTTCTTCGGGGGTTTCCCGCCTCCTAAACTCGCCATCGAGAGAGAGAGAGAGAGAGAAAAGATACTTCCTCTCCTGTTGTATTTGATGAGAAAGAGGAGGGTGATTATTGACCGTCCGATCAATGAGTTTTTAGATGCGAACTATGATTAGCAAATAATACCCATGATGACGCAAATTAATTAAGCCCAAATGAAAGGAACGATGCAGGGAAACAAACTTACAGATCGGGGACAAATTTTCAAAACCAACCTATTTGAGAAACTAATTGCAAAAAACGACCCGTTTGACATTTATTTAGAGAAACCGACCTGGTTTCAGCACTGTAGCTGAAACCAGGTCGGTTTTTCTAAAAAAGTTTACGAAACTTCACGGGAGTTCAACTCCCGTGAAGTTTTGTTATGAGAAAAAACTTCACGGGAGTTGAACTCCCGTGAAGTTTCGTAAACTTTTTTAGAAAAACCGACCTGGTTTCAGCTACAGTGCTGAAACCAGGTCGGTTTCTCTAAATAAATGTCAAACGGGTCGTTTTTTGAGAATAAAATCTCAAATGGGTTGGTTTTGAAAATTTGTCCTACAGATCGGTTATCGGGTTGAATAATGATTGAATAAATTCGAACGGCAAATGATTTGTAGCCTTTTTTTGGTGATATTAGCGATTATTTGAATTTTTTTTATTGAATAAATTCGAAAAACGAATGATGGAATAATATTTTAAAAGTGTGTATCCCTTTTAATCAAACCGCACTCATTAATATTGTTCAAGAGTATACTCTCTCTCTCTCTCTCTGATATTAAAAAAAAAAGTTTCAATTTTTTTTTTGCAAAGCTCATCCCTGAATGATTCTTCAAACATTCATCAGACAATTTACACAGCATATCGAATCACAATAGTCTCACAATTGTTCCTTAATATCAACTAAGAAAAGTTTTTTTTTTTAAAAACGCGCTTAATTAACTAGCATGTCACAATTTTCATCACTTCCCATTGCCGGAATCCGCAGCCGTCGCCGCCTTCCCCTCCTCCATTATCTTCACCGGCTTCCCTCTGCGCGGCCTTCGCCGTGTCATACGACGCATGCAGCCCCAGAAAGAAGTAATAAACGAGCAAGAACACCGTCCAAAACACCGAACCTCAATGAACGACTTCGCGTCGATCGACCCCAGCAAAAATATGTGATCGCAATCGACAGCGACGGCAGCCACGCACCATCGGCACTCCCATAAGCTTCGCCTCCCTCGCCTGCGGCACCCCCAGCCACAGCCCCATCGTCGCCTGACGAACCCACACCGGCACCGTTATGCAATACCCGATCCACCCCTTCTTGCTAGTCGCCCAGTACACCGCGGTCGCAGTCGACGATGCAAGGATCATTAACAACAACACGACCATTTTGTTGCGGTCTGAATTCGTCGTCTCGCCGCTGACGTAGTAGCGTCGCACGATGAGGGCGACCCCGACGAGCATGAAGATGAAGAGGGTCGATATTGACAAGAGGTTTGAGAGGATTTGGAGGTTGGTGAAGAAGGCGACTGATGCGGTGGCGGCGAGCATGATGATGGTGGCGTTGATCGGCGTGCCGGTCTTGGCGTGCACGTTGGCGAACCACGCGGCGACCGATGGTGGGTGCGGCGATGTGGGTGAGGATCGAGCACTGGCCAACGGCTCCGACGAGGAGGACCGTGGTCCATGCCCTTCAGCGCGCCGAACGCGACGATGTACTTCGCCCAGTCCATGGCCGACGGCGGAGAATGCCACCGAAAATGGCGCGTCTGCATCGATCTCTGGTACGGCTGCATCGTGCAGAGTACGAGCGCGAGGACGCAGTACGCGCATGGTTGCTTGATCGACATGCGCCACTAGCCAAGGGGATGTCTCTGGCGGGTTTTTGGTCTCTTCGGCCATGGTCAGATGGCGTCAAAGCCCGACGTAGCGAAGAAGAGACGGCGGAGGCGCCTGAAGATGCCGCGGGTGCCGAAGGGGGTGAAGGGGGAGAGGTTGTTGACGTCGGCCTTTGGTGAGGCCGGCGACAATGATGAAGAGGATGACGAGGAGGTGGACGATGGAGGCGATGTAGTTGAAGCGGAGGTGCCCTTGGTGGAGACGACGGCGACGATACAGATAAGAGAGACAAACGCGCACAGCAATGGGTCGAGCGGTCGTAATCCTGGCCGAGGCTAGAGCGTGCGATGCGGAAGTCGTCCGGGCGTGGTTGAGGAGGGTGCGAAGTAGGAGGTCCACGAACGGGCGACGGCGGCCGCCTCCGATTACGTACTCGAGGAGGATGTTGCCGGCGGCGATAAGCACGAAGTCACCGAGCTCTACGCGGAGGTAGGCAAAGGAACCACCTGAGGAAATAATTAGGGAGGGCAAGGAATTAAGTTCGTTGTCTAAAATTAAAAAAAAAAAATGTTAATTAACGTGATGCCTAATTCTGCATTCTGATTTATGAATCCACAGGATTAAGTACAGGAAATTTTGATTGCAGTAGTATACTGAAATAGCTCCTTATGTTTGATCATACAATGAATGAACTCTAAATTCTATACCATAAACGCTGGATGATATATGTTAAGGATAAAGAACAACAACAATTACTTCAAATATAAAAAAGAAAACAAAATGTTTGTTCGGAATCATCGAGTGGTTTTTGATACGGTGTCATAACATCAAATTTCAAAAGGTATTTCATTCAAGCATCGCAATATCAAAGTTCACGTATTTTAATTTATTTGATTTATTCTATATTTTCGAATAAAATTCAAAGTCTAAGGTCCAATTAAGAAAAATACTAGAGAATTCTATCAATTGTTGGATTTTTTTATTTTTTATTTTTTTTTATTTTTTTTAAAGGATCAATTGTTGGATTGTTAGTTGTTGACAACAAAAAGTACTGAAGAATTCTATCAATTATTGGATTTTTTTTATTTTTTTTTATCTTTTTTAAAGGATCAATTGTTGGATTAATCGTTAGTTGTTGACGTGTTGCCATATACGTCTAATCCTTCGGCGATAAATCCAAAATTCATATATTGAATTGTGAAGTAAGGATCGATATCATTCCAAAGAGGCGGCTGCCGCATGCCGGCGCTTAGATTCCTCAAGTGAATCTAATACAACCATAGAGTACACTCAATATGTCAACAAGTCAACATCTAAAGCTACTTTTTATCGTTTTCTTAATAAAAAAAATTCTCAAACTCATTTATTTTCTAAGGGGTTCAAAATGTCTAGAGATTCTCTACATCATTAGTTGTAGAGAGAGACTAAAATTCATCAATTAACTCTCTTAACTTAGTAGACTCCATGAATGATATATGTTATCTAAATTATCTTAACAAAACTTTTTAACTCAGGACCCATTGAGATAAATCAATAGTATTGGTCCAACTAATTGTAGACTTTTTCTATAATTGAGATTGTAGAGAATCTGGAATCGTTCAAAATACCTAGAGATCATCTACATCAGTGGTTGCAGAGAAACTCTACAATCCATCAATATATATCTTCATTTGACGGACCTCGTGAATTATATATTTTATCTAAATTATATACAAAAAAAATTTAATTATAGGACCCGCTGAAACAAGCCAATAGTAGTGACCCATAATTGCAGGCATCCTCTACAATTAAGGTTGTAGAGGATCTAGACTAGTTCAAAATAATGCTTTCTTAAGGTGGCGTTTGGCAACGAGTTAAGTGAGACTTATTCTCTTTTTAACCCGTCAAACACAAAAAAATATATACACGGGTTAAAGCGAGTTAACTCTTTATAATATAGCAAACGCAAAAAATGCAGAATAGTTAAGCTAACCCTTCTAGAGAGATTAAAATGGATTAACCCCTCAAAATAAGGGATTTAATAATACTCCTATTTAGAAAAAATAAGAGTTAACTCCTCTATTTATAAATGAAATAGTCAAAATCTTCATTATTCCCAAACACTAAAAATGATCACAATGGGTAAAATAAAACTTATTTAACAAGTTAATAATTTGGTCTTTCGGATTATCGAATGTGATGACGACGTTAATCTTGCTACTTAATCCTTCTTCATTAACTCTTTGCAGATCACCATGGAAACTACAATCTCCATTGTACTCTCCCCCCCATTTTATTCTAGTGAAGAGCTAGATTACTTGCTCAATATTTTGGTCAATAGCCAACGTATATAGAAAGAAAAGTTCATTGAAATTGACGAAAAAGATGTTTAACTTTGAAAGACATTGAAGGACCTTTCAAACAATTCTAGTATATTAATTTGTTTAAGATATAGAAGTTGTCTGCTCCATTACTTTATCAATAGTGAGATTCTAGACTCGTTAAAAAACAATCTCCAATAAGTCCTTATTATTGACTTGTTTAAGAGAGTACTTATCTACTTAATGATTTTAATATAAGGGGGATCCTAGCTAATTACTCAACAAGTCCACTCACAGAACAGCTGCACATGCTTAAGAGTGGTCTGAATTTGCTTATAATTTCCAGAATTTACATTGAATTTGGATAGAAAAACGAGTAATTGGCTTAGGCTTCATTTAGGGCGTGTTTGGTTGGTTTTGGAGGAGCTCGAAAGCTGCAACAGATGGGATATCTGCGGCAGCTTTTCGGGCTCTTTCCCACCCAAAAACAGAGATCCAAACGCGTCCTTATAAATTATCAGCTTTGGATCTAGTGCCTCCATAAGAACCTATATGATTCGTTTATGGGGAATTTACCTAAATTTTGCACGTAAGCCACTCCTTAAAGATATATATTGTCAAAGAGAAACCAACCTAAGTTAGTAATTTTGTCCGAACAAACTACTGCGCTCTAGAATTGTTGTTGTCTAAGTAGGTCAACCGTCTTGTTCGTTAAGTTAATTAATTACGAGCTGTTTTCTATGGGGTAGGATGAACAAATTTCATAGTTTTCTTCGAATAGCATAAAGCATGACAATTTTATTATTTTTAATTTCATTTTTTTAAAGCAAAAATATGATGAGGAACCCTATTTGAAAGATTTCTTAATTAAATTTAGAGATGCTCGAATTAGGACATATATCATATATGGTAGCAAAAAGGTAGGGAAAAAAAACAAAATTTAAT